GCGGCGCGGAGGAGCGGCCGAGCGCGCGGAGGAACCCTACGTGGGTGGCCTCGCTGCGGCGCGGAGGAGCGGCCGAGCGCGCGGAGGAGCCCTGCGTCGGTGGCCTCGCTGCGGCGCGGAGGAGCGGTCGAGCGCCCGGAGGAGCCCTGCGCCGGTGGCCTCGCTCCGGCACGGAGGAGCGGCCAAGCACGGAGGAGCCCTGCGTCGGTGGCCTCGCTGCGGCGCGCCGGTGGCCTTGCTACGGGCCTGTGGCGCGCCGGTGGCCTCGCTGCGGCGCAGAGGAGCGGCCGAGCGTGCAGTGTCGACCTGCGCCGGTGGCCTTGCTGCGGGCGTTGTGGAGGCGGAAGTCGCGATGGTGTTGTGGAGGCAAAAGTTGCAGTCTGATACATGGGACCAAGGGCGGACACGAGCGGGCAACAACCGTGGACGAGAGCGTCCGCTTCTGTCCGCTTCATACCCATTTGTGAAAGGGATCGAGAAGAGGTGTCTAGAGGGGGGAGGGGGTGATTAGACACTATGTACTAAAAGTTGTAGTTTTTAATTTCCTCAAGTTTAAGTGGAGTTTTGGCACAAGTTTAACAATCACAATCCATATCAAGCAAGCATGCAAAGAGTATATGAGCAGCGGAAAGTAAAGAATGCAACTTGCAAGAATGTAAAGGGATGGGATTGGAGTGTGCAAACGCAATTTGGAGAGACGGAGATTTTTGAGCCGTGGTTCCGATAGGTGGTGCTATCATACATCCACGTTGATGGAGACTTCAACCCACGAAGGGTAACGGCTGCGCGAGTCCACAGAGGGCTCCACCCACGAAGGGTCCACGAAGAAGCAACCTTGTCTATTCCATCATGGCCGTCGCCCACGAAGGACTTGCCTCACTAGGGGTAGATCTTCACGAAGTAGGCGATCTCCTTGCCCGTACAAACTTCTTGGTTCAAATCCACAATCTTGTTGGAGGCTCCCAAGTGACACCTAGCCAATCTAGGAGACACCACTCTCCAAGAAGTAACAAATGGTGTGTTGATGATGAACTCCTTGCTCTTGTGCTTCAAATTATAGTCTCCCCAACATTCAACTCCCTCTCACAGGATTTGGATTTGGTGGAAAGAATATTTGAGTGGAAAGCAACTTGGGGAAGGCTAGAGATCAAGATTCTTATGGTAGGATTGGTATATCTTGACCTCAACACAAGTGTAGGTGGTTCTCTCTCAGAAAATGTAAGTTGGAACTGTAGACATGTTCTGATGGCTCTCTCCACGAGTGAAGAGGGGGTGGAGGGGTATATATAGCCTCCACACAAAATCTAACCGTTACACACAACTTACCAATCTCGATGGGACCGGATTAAGAAACTCGGTCCGACCGATTCAGCAAATCTAGTGACCGTTAGGATATTCGGTGGGACCGACATGCAACTCGGTAGGACCGATATGGTTAGGGTTAGGGCATAACGTAATATCGGTGAGACCGATTACACAAACTCGGTGGGACCGATTTTGGTAATAAGCTAACCAGATAGTTGGTCAGACAAACTCGGTGGGATCGATTCGCTCATCTCAGTAAGGCCGAAACATTACGAAAAGGAAACAGAGAGTTTGCATTGTAATCTCGGTAGGACTGATTACACAAACTCGGTGGGACCGATTTTGGTAATAAGCTAAATAGAGAGATTACAATCCCATCTCGGTGAGACCGAGATCCCTATCGGTGAGACCGATTTGCCTAGGGTTTGTGGCAGTGGCTATGACATCAGAACTCGGTGGCGCCGGATAAAATGAATCGGTGGGGCCGAGTTTGACTTTTTGTTTAGGTCATAGGTGGATATGAGAAAGTAGTTGAGAGCTTTGGAGCATATCACTAAGCATTTTGAGCAAGAACCTCATTAAGCAACACCTCATCCCTCCTTGATAGTATTGGCTTTTCCTATAGACTCAATGTGATCTTGGATCACTAAAATGGAAAATGTAGAGTCTTGAGCTTTGAGCTTGAGCCAATCCTTTTGTCCTTAGCGTCTTGAAAGGGTTCCACATCCTCTAGTCCATGCCACTCCATTGTTGAACTTATCTGAAACATACTAGGTAAAAGTATTAGTCCAACAAGAGATATGTTGACATAAATTACCAAAATCACCGAGGGAGCACTTGTGCTTTCAATCTCCCCCTTTTTGGTAATTGATGACAACATACATCAAAGCTTTAGATGAAGATATAGAGAATAACAAGTAAAGCTTTAGAAAGACATGTAACAAGCATAGGCTCCCCCTACATGTATGTAATCATGTAAATATGGAATATGGGAGCATGTGAATGCATAAGCATGATAGAGAAGGCAATGTGTTAGATGTATCTTGGCTATATGCATCAGAGCAAAAGATGTGAATATGGGAAATGTACCTTCATGCTCATGAGTCCTTCTTGCAAACAGTATGTACATCAGCAAGAGATCCTCATACACATGATTGTGATGCATATACTTACCTTATGGTCTTGAGTTGGCTTAGGATGGAATGAACATGCGTAAATAAGGTTAGATAACACAGAAACACTTACTAGCCAAAGCAAACAAAAGGAACCACAAGAGTACCAATAATGGGATGACATGTAGAGAGTAAGTACTGAGTACTTTATTTGATATAGACATGTCCCCAAAGGTAAAGATGTACAATGAATTCAAGGAATTCCTTCCCTTAGATGTCTTACTCCCCCTGAATCTAGCATGGGATACTGGGAGAAGATAGGGAACAAAAAACAGAGCTCAAAGAAAGGAAACAGAGCTAATGCAAACAAACAAATATGAACATGTCTTTCCCCTCTTAAAGACATGTGACTTCTCTCCTCTTGAACACCAAGCATCTGGAGTCCTTGAAGATTACTCTCTCTCCTTGAGTATTCTATCCCCCTAGAGATATGATTAAGCTTTGATGTGATCTCTCTCTCCCCCTTTGACATCAATTTCCAAGAAGGGTCCTTCTGGAATTTTGTGTTACAAATGGGTTTGGTCCTTGAGTCACAAGACAAAGCAGCACGTTGAATGTGATGCTGGTAGAGGACAAGATTCATTGAGTGGAGCTGGATCAAAAGAACTCAGGAACAACTGGCAAACTAATTTTCCTATTGTGAAATCAGTGGCACCGAGGTGTATGCTTCGGTAGCACCGAAAGGTTTCGGTGGGACCGAAAATAACAGGCCGGTGTGACCGAGTTCATGACAAAGAAAACACTTGTCACTTCAGCTCACTTATACAAGTAAGGTCTCACAAATATTTGCAAGGAATTTGATGCAAGGAAATGCAGAACAAAAAGAGAAATCTAGATGAAGTTTTTTTGAACAAATATGCATGAATAAAATGCAAGAGCACAGAAAAGAACACGAGAGAACTTCATCTAGAAATGGTCGGCGACAAAGTCACCTATGTTAGAGTATATTGACATAGGAGTCAAGTGAGATCACTTGATCATAGGTCATACTCATCGTTTAAGATCAAAATGGGGTTACCATTTTTCCTTTAAGCACTTTGATGTATTCACATCTTGTTGAGTTGCTTTGACTCATGACTTGGAGTAAAGCTTCTCTAAGATGGAATAACATACCTTGGGTGGTGGTGTTGATCATGTAGTTGAACTTGTGTGGATTGCTCGAGGTTGATGTAGCTCATCAAGAGTTGGGAGCACCCCTTGGAGTGTGAGTTCATCTACCTACATGGGTTAGTTTTTGCAAGGAAGAGCACTTGTGTATCCAATATGACTATCATAGAGTTCAAAATAGAATTTGTCAAAGGATATGTCAAAGGGTTCCGTGCTTCCTTGTCTTCATCCACCATTGTGTAGAGACTTGGTGATGTAGAGATTGCTCAAGATTGAGTATGTTGCAATCTCATAGATTTAGATTCATCCAAGTACCTACAAGGGTTAGATGACATGCAA